CGCCCATAGCTGTGCCATCATTAAGCCATCATTAAGCGGTGGAACGACATCCACAGCCTTTGACCTGGACCGACGGGACATATCCCCCCAGTCACGGTGCAGCCGTCACTGCACCACCTTTGACCTGGCTTACCATGGGCCGGGGACCTAAAGATCGTCTTCCCTTAGTCCACATTCAACACTAGCTGCTCTCAGCATACGCACCGCTACACTCAGACTTGCACACAAGGCTTCCTTTCACATAATTCCATTCATAATAATATTCTACAAATATTAATCTATATGAAAAAATAGATATATATATATATATAATTTTTATAAGAAATATCTATCTTTTTCAATCTTAGCAATAAATATTTTTTCTCATATATGTATGACGCCGGATATATGGTTCATAATTTGAAGGTCTATATAATGATAAAATATATTCTATAGAATATCTTAAATTCGAAAATATCGGAAATAATAAATAGAAAATTTGTTGGTAATAAGCATAATATTATCATCAAGGTGGGAAATTTTGCACGATGGTTGATGGCAAGCTTCTGGTTTGGCGTCTGCCTTGTCTGGCTTCCGGGTAATCTGAGAAGGGTCCATGTTCAGGATATAATTGGTGGTTGAGTCCACGCCGTGCCGTGAAGAGTGCACGCACGTATCGCTTGTTTTTGCAACTCTGCGTTCTTGGTCTGTGTCTGCCCTAGATACTGCAGCAGGGCAGTTTTTGCTAAGTGCCTGGCCAAGCCGCCAGGCAAGCATGTGTCGAACTACGAATAATCTGTCCCAGCCATGTGGTTCCCAGCAACTGCAATTAGACAAAAAAGTTTTGTTGCCTATTTATATCCTTGATCAGAAACCTGGACCACTGGAAGGGCATGAAGGGTACCACTGGGGAACCTAGTAGTCTGTGTGATTGCAAGTTTCCTGCACGCCTTCATGCGTGCGGCTGCCATCAAGACTGACTTGATAACTGGTGTGACAGGTCCATACCATCGCAAATGCTTCAACGGGGTGATGGTATAGGAATGTCTCATAGTGTATCCATGATGTTCTGAACCTGGACATCCGACTACTGTCTTTGACTCTGAAGCAGCTTCGCCTCTGAACCACTCGGAGCGACGTGCTATATCACATCACAGTGCACGGCATCTCCTCCTCGGCATTCTCCGACACCACCTTCTCCTGCCCCTTCTTGGTGTCGGCAAAATCGTTGAAAAACACACATCCCCTATTGCTGTCCCAATGCACATACACGACGTGATGAGTGAATTTCGATGGTGGTCTCGGCTTGAGTTCTGCAGGATGTGACCACTCGCCGTTGCTGCGCTCCGCACGGATCTCCATGCTGGGGTAGGGATGGACAGTAAAATCCCATTTCTGGCCCTTATCGACATATTTCACCTCTCCGCGGTCCTTCTGGACCGGGCTCTCTATGTCTATTTTGATCCTCCTATCCGTGAGGTTGACCATGTTCACCGTCCACCGCTCGCGCCCATCGTAGCTCGCCGGCCGTCTGCGGGGTGATTCTGGCCGTTCGTAAATGGCATTTGGCAAGGTATGTGCCATCCCGCTGTGCTTCTCTGAAACTGCTTGAGCAGGAGTGCTGCCGGCTTCATTTCAGCGCCCAGTCCTGCTAGCTGTTACAGCATCAACATGCGGCTTACCCAAAATGTTCACGAACCTCTCTGGGGGATACTTCAGCCTCAAGAAAGCTCCCGTTCTACTTTGGGGCCTCTATAAAAAATCCTACACTTCAGTGTTGGGCCTTCGGGGTTAGGAACTCGGCCCTCCTCCTTATGGTAGAATGGTACATCAAAAGTCTTCCGATGCGAGCGGGTGGACTATGCTTACGCGTACTAATAAAATTCTATGAGCACTGGTATTACTAACCGTTGCTGGCCGCTGCAGCTTCGCTGATGGGAGGCTATCCTGAACAAAGCCACCCTGTGCATCGTGAGCAAGAGCCCCCTAAACCCTAAACCCTAAACCCTAAACCCTAAACCCTAAACCCTAAACCCACCCAGAAAGGAAGATCCCAGCCCAAGGTGAGCACATGAAGCCAATTCTCCCTGCCCTACCCCCTTAATTTCATTGCCTCTCATTGCCTCGTGTGAAAAGTTCCTCTACATCGCCTACAACACCCAGCCGTTCTCGTTCAAAACTACCCAAAACCAACATAACAAATCAAAAAGTGCGAAGCACGAGCCTCACGAGACGATGTGACTAGACATTTACAGATTTGCAGATGAAGCGCTAGCAAAACAACACGCACACCACAGATTGGCAAAACCTAAAACCAAACAAACGGAAAACATACGGAACACATCCACGCCGAACTTAAAACAAATCGAGTGATGCGAAGCACGAACTTCGGGAAACTTTGTCACTAAATGGTTGTGGTTTAAGATGGCCACCAATTATAACATTAAACACGATTGTCCTTTGAGTTTCTCAGTACCCCCTCAACACATGAGGAAACGACAATGAGGCACTCCACAAAAAAAAAAACATGCTCGCCACAAATCGACTTTGATTCGGAAGCGTATAATATTGGATTCTGTTCACAACAGCAAGCACAGTACGGGACACGAGCACTCTTTTTCAACCACATAGATGCACGGAGTGAAGATTCAGACATCCCTCAGCATGACCAACTACATAACCCCTCTGGAACACACAATCTTTTTCCAACCCACCACGCCACGCATCACCAGCATCCGACTCCAATTCATGATGAGGACGATTTGGTTTCCTGTCCGGAAGGGTGCTTGTCACCAAGAAGCGAAGATGAGTGGTACAAAGTTGATTCCAATCCGTGGTTTAAACCTTAAACCCTAAACCCCAACCCCTGAAACCCTAGACCCCAAATCCTAAACCCTAAAACCCTAAACCCTAAACCCTAAACCCTAAAACCTAAAACCCTAAACCCTTTAAGATGGAGGCCTGATGGTTTCCTACACGGCAGCAGTCATCCAGGAAATCTTCCAACCTCCGAAGATTTCTTACTACGCCAAAGAAACCCACGGTTTAGGGTTTAGGGTTTAGGGTTTAGGGTTTAGGGTTTAGGGGTTTAGGGTTTCAGTGATATGCCGTGTAATTTAACTTTTGACACCGGCTGTAGCTAAGGGTGCTAAGAAATCCATAAACCCAACCAAACACTAAAACCTCAAACACCACCAACAAAAACGCCAATTGGAAACTTATTGAAGAAGGCTCGAAAGACAAAGGACAAGGTTCTTCGCTTCAGCCCAAGCCAATACCTGCCAAATGTCGCAAAAACACTGAAAGGCAACATCAGTTGACTTTCGTGGGGCTCGCATGTGTTGTGTGTAAGGCTATGGGGGGGTACATCTCCAACTACCCTTCTTCCTCACCCGCTACCTTATAAACCCCTACACCAGAAACCCGAAACCCTATATAAACCCCCGAGCCATAATCCTAATCCCTAGACCCTAAAACCCTAAACCCTGAAACCTAAACTCCAAACTATAAACCCCTGAGCCATAATCCCAACTCTCATCCCAACCTCCGAAGTACCCTGAACCCTCAACCACTAGAGCCATCAATGAAGCCGTTAACCCCGGAGTCCCTCGAAAAGCGGCCCCATCAACCCTTATCTAGAGGTTATGTTGCGGCCTGTTAGGGCTTAGGGTTTAGGATAGAAGTTGTTCAGGGTTGACGGGGCTGGGGGCTGGGGACTAGGCTCGGCTGGCGAGCACATGTCGCATTGCTGCACTCGGAAGACCTGCGTTGTTGCTGGGCTGCACTGGGCTGGCTGGTCGGTTACGTTCAGGTCATTATTTCGGACTCCGTCCTCGGCAATTCGTCGCGGGCCGGGGGCAAGGCTCGGCTGGCGGGCAAAATTTCGCAGTGCTGCCATCGCAAGGGCTGGCTGGGCTGGGTTGCTGGATAGTTCGGGTCAGAGAGTCAGTGAGCTCCACTGTGTACGACGAACATGCTGGGGCTGGGGGTTGGGGCCGGCTTAGGGGGTTCAAGGTAACAAAGACACGCAATTTCTGTGCATGTCATTCTTGAGGGTTTGTGTACGGCTTTGGGGTTTTTAAGTTTGGGGCTTCAGGTGTAGGATTTGGGGCTTTGGGTACGGCGAGGACAGTGGAAGGATTCAGCAGGGACAGTGGAGCTTTGGAGCTATTCGGCTTCAGTCCTCCATCAGGTATCTTCGCTCGCTCTCCTCCTCGGGCGACTGCGTCCTGAGATATCTAGCAGCTCATCGCGCTTACACTGAATGACCTTGTGGTACATAGAGTCTCAACATTATGGTGCAGACGTTGAGCCTGAATCATCCATCCGTGGTGTTTTGGCTTTGGCGATGCCCAAAGTTCGTGAGACTATACTTAAATGGAGACTGTGCGTGGTTGTGAAGGCTCTTATCTGAGCAAAGCAAAGATTTGGGGTTTTACGTCCTCGTCGTTGAGCGCTCCAAATGGCGTTTAGGGCTTACGGCTTAGAGCCTTTCTGTATGATGTCTTAACACCCTTACGTCCACAACAGCAAATCTGTGCGCATGGGTATCTGAGCGGGAATCCTCCCGTAGAACCAGGCTCAATCCAAGAAACAACGAGTGGGATTAGGGCCATGGCTTTGTGATTGGAGCTTCCTTGCTGGAATCAACCTCTTTGCGCAATCTTCATTTTGATGACCTGACTGTAGCCTGATTGCCATAGATGTTCGTTGTATGCACTGCAGACTGTACAAGAAACCTTGCATCACTCTGTTTGTCGCCTCTGTGGCGCGTGTGACCGTGTCTATGTGGGTACACAGTTCTCTAAATTAGGATCCGCTCTCGGTCTCCCAAATAACACGTCACTTTTTATACAGAAAGCCCGAAAAGGGAGGCTAAGGAGTCTACCCCAAAAGTGAACCCGTAAACCCTAAACTTTTATGGTACCCTTGAAGGGAACCCCTGAAAGGGACCCCAATTTCAGAGAACTGCCCATGCGCATGTCTCAGCAGCTCTTTGCACAGAGGGGAATGCCCGTAGTTCCCGCTGACAAAGTAGTGCTAGGGTTTAGGGCTTATAGAAGTTGTATAGGGTTTGGGTCCTGGGTTTTGCGAAAGTTTTGAGCGAAAGTTTTGCCTTTGCTTTTCAATTTTGATGTTGGGATTGGATTTAGCTTTTGCTGGGCTGGGCTGGGCTGGGCTGGGCCGGGCTGGGCTGGAGGAAGGGTGATGAGCGGCGGGACAAGTTTCAATGAAAATTCGAATTTGATCAAGATGCAGTTCGAGTGAAATTCACCAAATTTCTACGTACACCTGTTCTTGAGGGTGTTGGGTTTAGAGTGCTGTGCCCCAGACCCTTAGCCCTAAACTGCGATGCCTGGCATAGGTGTAGGCCTTCGGAATAATCAGCCTTTTTTCGAGACACACCGGCCTGGAGAACCAGGAGCGTGAAGAACCTTGCGCCAAAACCTTCCAAACCTCAAACTCAAGTGGATGGAGATCCTGAACCTTGAGCCTTCTTTCTTGAAATCGCTGGCCCCAACTTCTGAAATTGCGCTTGAGCAATACCCCCCCCTTAATTTGAGGCAAGCGTGCTGTAGCTGCTTGGCCAGCCAGTAGAACCTTGGAGGCGCATGTTGTTTTTTTTACTAGTCTTGGTTTGCGAACTAGGACACTGGGCATGTCAGCATGTGAATGTGCGCGACTCTTTGCTGTGGTCTTTGGTTCGTTTGCATCTGAAGGCCCGTGTGTCGCTTTTGGTGCAGCCGCCTGCGGCAAGTGGTTTTTCTAGGCAGGGTCTACAGGCTTGTGTGAGATAGGTTCAAGGTCTGATACCCGAGGCTATTCACCAATTCCAAAAGCCATGTGCGGATTCCGTCAACTATGTTGACAAGACGTCCCTAACACTGAAGAGGCATTGAAGACTGCTGGGTTGACTTGTAGGGTAGGTTCCGAAATTTCCCAGTACATGTTCACATCGTTCCAGGGGACGGCATGGTCAAGCAGGCGCATCCAATCGTGACGCTGATTGACCTGGGCAACATCAAGCTGATTCTCTAAACTTATAAATCCTAAACCCCAAATCCTAAATCCTCAACCCTAAACCCTGGCAAGCTGTGGCAACCTCAACCCTTGGCCCTTCAAAATGTAACGCACCCCTGGAAACTCGAAGGAGAACCCCCAAACCTACGAGCCCCAAACTAAAACTCTGAACTATGGTTACCGGTGAAGAACACTTTTTGCAGCCAAATTAATCCAAACTACCTGGACCCCCAAAGCATGTATATAAACTAATGGCCTTTTATAGGTCTTGGGCCATTAGTTTACCCACTTTGGGCGTTCAGGTATTCACTGGAAAAGGACCGCTGTTCAGGGCCTGCTTAAGACCCACCATGAAGCAACATAAGGTCCTCAATATATCCATCTAGCACCCCAACCAGCCCCTGTAGTACCTCTATGGAAACCCTTGTATGTTTCTATAACTAAGGAGCCCCTATTACCCATGTGCAAGTACTCTTCTAGGCCCGAATTGTGCTGCCGAAGCGTGGGG